CCCCACCCCCACCCACAGACGCATACGCCGCACCTGCCTGCACGCCTCAAAAATAATAAAGAAAAGAGAAGACGATGCAAAACCGCGCAATGCCATACTGTGTGCGCCATTGTCGGGCTCGCCGCAGATGAGCGGCTACGGCTGCATTTCCTGCCCAGTCCCTTTTCTTCGGCAATTTCTGCTCAGATTTTTCTCTTTCTTTTTTTTTTTTTGTTGTAAATAGCAGACGCGTCCTTCCCCGCTGGTGCGGTGCGGGTGAGGCCAGAGCGTATCGGCTGATCTGTGGGGCTGCCGGCCCTGCCAGGGGGGCCCAGCGCCCAGCCGCCCAGCCCGCCACCCTCGCACGCGCCCCACACTGCAAAGCAAGAGAACAGCCAACATTAGTTAAAGAAGCCACGTTGGAGAAATGGGAATAGAAGTCAACTGATTTTAGCGCTACAGACATTGCCATAATTTCACCATCGAATCACCGGAGAGAGAGAGAGGGGGGGGGGAGGGGGATATCCCATGGCAGTGATCGGCGCCGTGGCCCGGTTCACCAAGTGTTATGCATTTACAGGGCAGACCTCCGACAGTACTGTGCAGCATGCAGGCGTGTGGACACGTTGCCTACGCGCAAGGGGCCGTGGTGAGGGTGAGGCCCGCCGCGCGGCTGCATGCGGTACATACAGTGCATACACGGTAAAACAGCTCCTTGATATCATAGGACCAAGACACCCATTCGCAAGGACAGGGGGTAGGGAAAAACACATGGGGCGTCCTTGAATCGGTGTCTTGGTTCCTGCTTGAACATCAAGGAACTGTTTTTACCGTGTAACCCCACGGGTCGTGAAACTGCAAGCCCCCGGCGCTTGGGAGAACGAGGTAACAGCAATAACACGGCACTACGTGGTCCTTAAAAATAATATGGGAACGGCAAACGGGACCCCAGAGGTATCGAAGGACGCGGGACAGGCAGTAGTATGACTCGGCAACGGGACACTATTAAAACCAGCTCGCAAAAGGACCGCCAGCTCGGAAGGAGCAGGAGCAAACGCAACGCAATGTTTACCTTAAATGCGGATCATTTTCGAATCAGGAAGAGAGGAAGGGGCGGGGCATGGAAGGGTTTCAGAGTGACGCGAAGGTACGAGTCGAAGCGGTCCGGCAGCGGGGGACGATTTTTCGCCCACTCCGGTGACTCGGCGTTTTAGTGTCCACGGAGAGGGGGGGGGGGGCACTGCATTGAGATCATGTGTGTGTGTGTGTTCAGGGGAGTTCATTGACGAAAGCCTTTGCAGACGGTATTCTCCTTTGAGGCGCGACTCGGAGGATGACTCGGCGTGGACACAACGACGAGGCTTCCCCACCCCTTTCATCCCCCCCCACACACACTCACGTGATGTGCACTGGAAGTAACGAGCGAAAAAGAAACAGTTCTACTTCAAATTTTAGATGGCTAGAGATAGATGGATGGATAGAGGGATAGAGCGATGTACAGGGTGGTCCACAGACCCCTTCCTTTATTTTGCTTATACTGTACCGGATGCAGGCGTGCGACCGGGTTGCATACTCGCACGGGGCCATAAGGCGCCGTAGTGAGCGACGATAGGCAAGCCCGCCCGCACGCCTGCATGCGGTACAGTATAAGCAAAATAAAGGAAGGGGTCTGTGGACCACCCTGTATAAGACAGGCACCCCCGCGCCCCGCGCCACACTGTACGTGCCTGACATGGACGAGCACCGCATCAGTTCTAATCGAGATTTCTCCCCCCCCCCCCGCGATGGTCAAGCAGAGCCAGACGCCCGACCAGGAGTATGAGAATAAGAGCAATTTTCTGGGCCGTGCGCCACCCCTCAGCCCTGGCAGGCCCCGCCCCGCCACCCACCAGAAGGGATGTTTGAAGTAGGCAGAGGAGAGAAAATGGACGGGGGAGAGAGAGGGCATGATGTGGACAGCGAAAGAAATAACACATTCTTGGTAGGTGGTGGGACATTTGTCCATTTGGTCTTCCCTACGGCTAACGGGCATTATTTTTGACCGATTCGTCTAACAATAATTCGAACACTGGACGCACAAAAAGGCAGTTATTAATATGGAATCGTTATACTGGTGAGTTATGGCGAAGGACGTCGATGGAGGATAAGGGCAATGAGGAAATGGAGAATTTGTGAGGGTTTCCGGTCAGTAGTGGCAGAGAGTGTGGCGATGACGGCGGGGTGAGGCG